AGTTGAGAATTTGGCGAGATTGTTGTTGGTAAATGCAAACTTGACTTCCTTTCCAACAGGTTAGCCTGGTAGGCCACTACCTTGTTTACATTATCTTTTTAGATATTAGCAAACTTTTACTGGCTGGATTGTTTCTGGAGGAGGCAATTGGAGTTATTGGAAGTAATAATTATTTTGCTAGTTAGTCAAAACTAAGAGACTGTACACTGAGAAGGTGTGCAGAAGAAGTAACAAAAGAGTTACAGCTTTCCAGGCCTCAGAAATATAGATATCTTTGGAATCCAAGTCATATTAGAGAACGAATCCCACTAGTGTGTCTTTGAAATTGTAATTGTTGATGAGCTGTAATCATGTGGAATCCCCTGTCATATTCCTTCTAGATCACTGGATGGTCACACGTAGTTAGATGCTCTGATGTGTAGTTTCAGCACACTAGGTCTTTTATTATGATCTACTGTATAATTCTGAGCACACGCCTAAATGTGCTTCAGCAGTGGAGCGATGCTGTTTTTATGAGCACCAACCAGAGCAACAATTGGCCACAATAAGGAACGGACAGGCATGACTGCCATTTTATATTCAACTTTATGTCAGAAAAGACTTTAGATGGTTTGTCTCTTTACGTTCTGAGATGTCATAATGAAGTGTAAATTGACATGAAGTAGGCTACCGATTCTGGTTTCCACAGGGGAAGCTTAACTTATTCATATTGGGAATATTTGTGTGCAAGTGAAAGAAACCTCAGTGGCTTTGCGGAACGTGTCTTACGTGTCTGAAATGAAGTGCAGGCAAACACAAACGATTAATCGAATGTACGTTTTATATTCACAAAGAACTTCAAACTGCTTAGAAGGCAATTTCCCGAGCGCTGTGATGGACAGCTTATTTTGGCGTGGCTAAGATGGTGTAGATATAAGGAAATGAATGGCACATCTGTTCTGCTCCTAATGCGGCTGATGAAGACAGACGCTTCACGGCCACTCTTGATTCTAATTAACATGCTAATTGGAAATTCAAAGACAAACAATGGGAGGTGTGCAAGTTACTTTTTGCTGTGGCCTCTCTTTTGTGCTGTTCTAGAGCGAGAGACAAGCGGAAATGAAGCTTTTGTTTTGGCCGATTTCTAATGCAATGGGTTGAGTATTGAAATCGTTGCTGTCGACTGGAGACAGATTTAAATAATTGCGAGACAATTTAAGAAATAAATTAGGGCTGCACGATAAATCGCATGTGATATTTAACGCGCATCTTGTCAGTAAAGCCGGTTCTGTAATCAGCGGTAAATCTCCATCACCTGCGGACTTTCACATGGAGCAGCATTAACTACACAGAGCCGTTGTTCACTGACTAGCTGCGCAAAACCACAATCATATTTTGCGCAGCTTGTTGGTGAACAACGGCTCTGTGTAGTTTATGCTGCTAAATGTGAAATCCCACACATGATGGAGATTTACCGCTGATTACAGAATGGCTTTACTGACAAGATAAATATATGCGATTTATCGTGCAGCCCTAAAATAAATGAAAGAGGGTTACATCAGAATGAACATCTGACATTATGAGTTGGCATTCGAATGTAATAGTAACGCAATATGGCAGACAGGTCACATTTTCAAGATGGAAAAAAAAAAAGTTAGTTACCCAGCTAACGTTAAAGTTCATGTAACTTTGGACTCAAAAAGCAAATTACGTAGCATAGAATCGAACAGATATTTATCCCTTTTGAAACGTCACAAAATAAAAATAACAGTTACACAATGAAAGATCTTAATGACTGGTAAAATAATTACTGGAAGCACCAGGATTTCACGTTTTAACTGAGGCATGAATTAGTAAATACTCTCACCCTTTTGATGTCCTCTTCTCTAGTAACCGCAGTGTTGCCAACTTCTATATCGTAGCGTGCAGGAGTTGAGCGCGAGAATTGAAGAGTGCTAAATGTCGCGACAAGTCCCAAGATGTCCGCTGCTGATGACGAAATGACATCACACGCACGCGCTACGCGATGTAGTCGCCTAATCATGTGTGTTCTTAAAGCAAACAGTTTTAAATTAATAGATGCGTACATTATATAATCATATGTCAGAGTCAACATGGTGTAAATAACTCGTTAAAAAGGCTGTATTTATTACAGTTGACTGAGTACCAAAACTGGATTTCAAAACTTGTGCAACAGTTTTCTTCTATAAAAAAAAAAGAATATATATACTGTATACATGATCTCCTGTAGCATTTACTGCATAATCATATTCCTAGAATATATAGGAAAATGCAAAAACACTCTTAGATTCTACTGTAAAATTTACAGCAATTATTTAGCATGTTCCCACAATTCATAGCAAAATACAGTAATGCTGTAAATTTCAAAATACAGTGGTCTATTGTAAATATTTACTGTAAAAATTACAGCAATTCTTTACAGTGTACTTATACTATATTGACTGGGTTAAATAGAATTGCATTTCTAAAAAGAGACTAAAATACCAATTTTCATTGACTAAAACTAGACTAAATGTCATCAGTTTTCGTCGACTAAAACTAGACGAAAATAGTTATGGATAATTCTGACTAAAGTAAGACTAAAATGCTCAGACTTTTAGTTGACTGAAACTTGACTAGACTAAAAAGAGTATGAACGTGACTAAAACTAATAAAAACTAAAATGACAGCTTCACACAAAGACTAGACTAAAACTAAAATTAAAACAGGCCGCCAAAAACAACACTACTTTACAGCTGAATTATTTTATTTTATTTTTGTCTTGGGGTGAAATATATGTACGCTACTTTTTTTTTTACATTTAAAATGTACATTAAAGTACATGTGACTGAAAAAACATTTTATTTATTTTTTCTTAAGATTCATTAGTTACATTTTCTTTTGTGACTATTTCAGGTATTATAATTTTATTTTATTTGATTTTACTTTTTATTTGATTTTTGTCGTAAGATGAAATGTAGATCTTTAAACAAAATGACTGTTCCAGGTATTAAAAATGATTTTATATTTTATTTTATTTTAGTTTAGTTCTCTCTTGACAGTTGCCGGTAATGTTTAAATGCAGACTAAACCAGATCAGTTCTACAGTGTCAGGGCAGCACTGGACACATTGACCATCAGGACACAATTCTTTCATTTGTTTTCTTCAGCAATATGAAAGTAGCAAAAATGTCATTTTTGATTTGTGTTTCAGCAGATTTAGCATGCTTAAAAAAAACATAATGCATTATAGACCCCATCATGACCATGACTGCTGCTTCCAGATTTAGTTCTGAGAGCTGTGTTTACTAAAAAATAGAATGAAGCAGAGTGGAGGAGGGGAGGAATGTGAATTCTTCTCCTCAGCTCAATATGTTTGGTTCAGCATATGGTACCAGTGTCAAGCCAAACAGCATTCTGGATACATAACTATGGAGGTCTTTTTGAAGTTGTATACAGATTATCCCGAATATTTGATGTATAGATGTAAATGTACATTTTAAGCTTATAAATTTATGTGTAGTTGTCGTGTCGAAGTTTTTGAATGTTGACTATTCCAGTTCTTTGGAATCAGTTCTGTGGGTTGAGCAAATTGTGTAAAGATAGTTTTGTTTGCCAATCATGTACAAATTGATTGAGTAAAGCTGTAAATATGTCTATGCTTATAGACCTGGTATTAAAATCTTATTTATTGAGTCATTTGCATCACAAAGAACTTGGGTTTTGGGGTTTGAACAGAAAAGCTAATGGTATGGTGAAGTCAATATGGTGTCTATACACAAACAGACAGACTCAAGTAAATGTGTGAGTTCTATGTGTTTGTATGCTTGGTGTTAAATGTTCATAAACTGTCCTTTAACATTGCTAAAATTGTACAAATGTTTAAAATGTGCAAACATGTATTTTGACAGCTTGAATGCTTCCAACACAAGCTAGCCAAAAGTCTCATGATGGTCACGACCTTGAGATTCTGTGAATGGACTCAGCGAGGTGTTTGTTGAGATGCTGCCATCTCAGCATAACGCAGGCTAAAAGTGGCATTTCACTAAATGCATCAACAGAAGTGCTAGCTAGTGTGGCCCAAGTCATTAAACAGACATTTGAATTCTCCTGAAAATCATTCAAGCACTCAATTATGACGTTAAAATGTTGAAACAGTAGCACTGTTTGTTAGAGAGCTCTAGCGACAGCGTGAACGGAAGGACAGACAGTGGTCACACTTCCCCGAGCTCTAAGTGCTCTCCAATGACTTCCTTTTGTTTTGCCTGTCTGCCTTTTATTCTCCGTAAATGATGCCAATCTTTATTCACGGCCCTGACAAGATGCTTCCCAGTCATCTGGCCCATTCTGACCCCCTTTATATTAAACAGGCCCCTTCACCTCCCCGCATCCCAAATTAACCCCCTGTCAGTGCCCAACAATGGAAGTGGGCATGGCTCCAGTCTGATTTATCCCACACTTCGCCATGATGGGGGGCATCTGCCACACCCCCAGCCCGGTCCTCCCTTTCTAAACCAGGCGTAGAGGAGAGCTGTCACTACATCTTCCAGAAAAGCGACATGCACTGATTGGGGAATTAGTTTAGTCAATGACTGTATGTAGAGCTAAATAGGGTGTGTGTCAGTGACTTTGTGTGTATTTGCAGTTGGGTCGGCCTAGTTCTGCCCATGCACTGCAAGAGGGCACACATTGTCACTCCTCAGAAATACACATAGACGATCAGGGCTAACTGCACCTCTTTAGGCCTGTTAAGAGAAGGAACACGCCATATTTAGGACTTGCACTCTTGGGATTCTCCAATGGATTAATGGCTAATAATTGATTAACACCTCGGAGTTTGAAGTGCTTTCTTGACATGATAATGCATTTTGGAGATTGCATTTGCAGACCTTTCAAAAGTCACTGTCTGCAGAGCCTAGTACTGCTCATCTTTTGGTATCAGGGATACTGGGGTGCTACCATGTTGCCGTTGGCCCAATATTCTTTGCTCGAGGTCTCAGAGTCTCTGTTACTTTCAACAGACACGGATACTCAGGAGGGGACTAGCAGTAGGGCCACAGAGGCCCCCACTGCAGAACACGATGACGACAACTCTCTGGGCTATACAGGTACTGCTTCTTATTTCTTACCTAAAAATACTGCTTTGTATTTACCATGGAAGAGCTTCTCTCAAATATATTATTTAAATAACATATATTGTAGGTGTCATTCCATCTCTTCCATGAACTTTTGACATTTTTGTAAGATAAATGAGGGGTTGCCTGGTGATAACATGAAGTTTTTATGTAGATATGACCCATTTCTGATCCAATCATTGCAGGTTCTTCTGTAGATTCTCTTATTCCGCTTGGGTTTCCATGAACTTTGCACAACCTTCACCTTAAGTCTGTCAGTGCATCTGAATTGAGTGACATTTTTCCATTTATAATCTGTTTATATTCTTTACAAATGTTATTTAAGTCAAGCTGTGGAAATTGGACACCCTTTCTATGTTATTTTCGGGAGATAAGCCTGGAACGTTCTGATGCTTATGACCCATAGGTGTAGAGTCAGCCAGAACCTCAATTTCCAGATTAAATGCACTCAGATGAGATGAGTCAATCGGTGAGAGAAGATCCCTGACCCTTTTTGCTTAAGTGGAAATAGAGTTCACCTTCTAGGGGCCCTGGGGGCCAGAGAAGAGAATCTCCTGCAGTGTGTGTGGTGTTATGTTTGGAGAAAGCTTGCTAACATTCTGACCTTCACTAGAGAAACAATTAGATAAGTGAAAAGGCGGCTTTGGCTTCGTGGGTGATCCAGTGGAAGATGAGAATAGCTGGTATAGAGCATAGAGAATGACACTACAGCCTCAAGAAAGCACTGTTTCACAATCTCACAAGGACAGAGATACTGCCTGCCTGACTGTGGTAGAAAAAAGGTACAGTTAGAGTATTGTTGTGGACATTTTTTTATATCTTTTAGTTCTTCCATTGACTTAGTCTTCCCCAACTCATAATACAGTTACAGAGCTAGAGGTTTATAATGTTACGTATTGTCAGAAAACACAGCAAACTCTTTTTATGTTTCTTCAGTTACGTTTAAAAGGAACTTAGCTTCAAAAATGAGCATCAAAGATGCATCATGTTGGCTTCATTTTGTATAACTGTGTGTGAAGGCAAACAAATCTCTTGTGAGAGCACTGACAGGCTGTTAATTCCAACTTTTTGGAACAGAGACTGAAAGAAGAATGTTTGTCCAGACATCTTTGGCATTTCACATGTATGTCATGAAAGCTTTCCGTATCTCTTACCCTTATTGAAGATTGAATCTTTGAAATAGAATGAAAAGCAATGTATTGGGTGGTATGATAAAGCATTTCATCTGTTTGTGAAATGTAGTCTTCATGCATCTTGTTGCAAAATGCTTTACATACTGTCATGCGGTTCCAAATGCACCTGGTTGTCTGGGAGTGACAGTCTGAGACTGAATTAGTCCCGTCTCCTGTGCATCCTCGTTATGGAGTCCTGCTCAGGCCTTAGAGTCGTGACCTTGAAGGCCCCACAATCATTAGTATGACTGCCTTCCTAATGCCTTGCATTATTAGGGCCATGGTTTCTGCTTCAAGGACGTGCAAATGCAAATCTCCCACACGTTCAGGGTTAAATTTTTCCACCCTTTGTGGAACACAAGCACTCTTACAATGGATTTATCCACAAAGCATATTCACCACAAAGCGTTTGCTTCTCCCCAGGGTGGAAAACATGGAAAATTCGGGTCCTTCCTTTAGGTCCGATCCCACTTTGGATGTAATTACCTCCACCACAGTCAACCAGGGGGTTTCTCCACAAGAGAGGATGTGGGCTCTTCTTATATTCATTTTCCCCATCCAATCTCTTTTCATTACAAATTCTGGAGCTTAACTCGCCCCGTGTCCCAGGAAATAGGGCCATCAGGCTAAACTCTCAATGCTGAACCAGGCTAATTCGGTCAAGAGTGACTGGAGTGCTGCGGAGAATGAAAGGAGCAGACAAGTTGGAGATAAGAAGCTGGTTGTGTTGAGGTTCTCATTATTCTGCAACACGTCTGTTTGGCACGGGATAAAGAATTTAAATTTGTTTATTATTGCAGCTGAGATTAGTATGGGTGAAGGAATACAAAATTGTCTCGTCGTTGCCAAGTGCTAGCTAAGCGCCATTTGGTACACAAAATTAAACGGCTTTCAAAATTCCAAAGAAGTAGTCATTTTTAAGCTTGAGTCGTAAATGGCATGCACTTTCCTGAAGGAAAAAAAAAGACGAGAGGGAAAAAGAAAGTTCCGCGACCCCCTTTTTGTGTTGAGTCTGGAGGTCCATATGGTCCCCTCATGACTGTCAAATGAGTTTGCACACGATTGGCAAATTTGAAAAGAAAAAGAAAAACTTGGTTCCAAACCAGCATATTCAGAAATGCTGACATGTAGCTTAGAAAAATTCTGATCCGACTAGCCATTCGGTAGCAATGCTATATTTAATTAAATTTCCACAGAAATGACTACCTCCATCAGTTTATTTGAATACGGCAGAAAATCACCCCAAAAAAATCCTTGAATAACTCAACAGTAATTTAAAGCTCTCCAAACTTCCCAAACAAGGGGGTGGCTGGAGAACTTTCAGCAGTGCCAGTTGCCACAGGCAAAGTTATGAAAGTGCATCCAAACAATTGCACATTTTACATTTACACTGTATTTCTCCCACATGCTGTTTTGCCATGGAGGAGTGAATGTGTTCAGTCATCACAAGCTGGACTCTCTGCTCGCTGGGGCATGAGAGTACACGGAGGGTGAAAGTTCTCGCTGAGTGTCATAAATCTGCATGGCACCTGCTCCCCCGCACTTCTTTGCCGTGTGTTGTGAGGTCAGTGGCACCACATAAGCTGTACATCATATTTATAGTGCTCATCATGGCAACCTGCATGTTTTGGCAGCTGACAGCAGCAGGGAGACAGAAAGAACCCTTGTGGTGTTTCTGTCGGAGGAAGGACATGCTTTTAACTGCAGAGGACGTGAGATAGGGAATGTAAGAAGTTTGGGAGGTTGAACGTTGGAGCATGTGGGAAGCAGAGTGAGGTGAAAATGAACTTTTTTGGCCATTACTGCAGAGATCCGTCTTACATGTGAGTTCCAGGTGTTAGATCATGTCAAACATGTTGTAAATCCACCCGTTTGTGGTGCAGATAAATCCACTTCAGAGAAATATATGAATTCACACACGCAGTAGCAGATGTTTTTGTACGCCAATGTGATTTGGAAAGTAAATGCTCAAGAATGTCAGCTTCTCCGTAAATCAGAACGAAGCACTGTATGCATTCCTGAATAAATCAAAACAAATTGAAATGCAGGGTTTTCAATATATTTGTTTCTCCATTTGGGTCATTCTAACCAGTCAAAAGCCATATTAGCTCCACTCTGTTAGAATGAAAATTTTAGACTCCATTTGAGACTCAGTTTTCTGGTGTTGAATTAAATACTGCATCTTGGCTTCTTGGGTTTTTGCAAGCTGGAAAATGGGTGGAGGCATCTGTCGAGCATCACACCTTTGCAAAGGCCAACCAAATTATAGATGCACAACTCTTGTGCATTGAAGTGTGATGACATTCTTCCTTTTGTCCCAAAGATTGGCAGTTAGTTCCACTTTTTTTTGTTGGTGCTGTAAGACCCTGTGTTTGTATAAAGGGTAATATGAGAGCAATCAGCAAAAGTGCCACTTATTCTTTCTGCATAGTCATGTTTTAATCATTACTCAGGATACATAAGCCTTGATTGAGGAATATCCAGTTGTCCTTGCTGCAGTAAAACGTTCCCCAAGTTTGTTCCCGCTCCTGCTCTGCGGGGCTGCGTTAATAATTGAGCGGGACTGCTGGTGAGGGTCTTGTCCAACAGCTTGCGAAGCACCGATTGGTCGAATCCCCCGTTGTGAAGGTGGGGAGGGCACATGGAAGCCAAAGACAAAGGCACTACTTGGCTCAGTTTCTCTTAGACCGCTTCTCATTTCATTTAAGCCTCTCCAACCAGTAAACCAATTAAGCATGAAAACACAATGCATCTTGTTCTTGCCAGTCTGAATAAAGGATATGGGAAGAGCAGGGGGACATGCTTCTTTCTGATGAGGGTAATTAGAGATTGAGACAAGCTGAAAAGTCCCATAGTCATCTGAATCACCATTGTTTTATTGTTAATGTATCTGGATCCTGTCGGCCTGTTACTCCTGGTGCACTCATGCATGGCATTGTGCAAATTAGATGTCGTGGAGGTAGGCTCAATGTCAGCATATGTTAAACCACATAACCAGTTCAATCTGGTTGTTTCACCAATACACAGGTGAGACACAAATTTGAATGTTGTGCATTTTTAATTGCGATCTTCACCACTCTCATGCCTCTCCCAGTCAGTTGCTAGTCTCTGTCTCTTGAAAAGATACTGGGTGCTAAAGGGGATTCAGCCTACGCAGGCGAACAGAAATGCAACAGCCAGTTTACCCGCTAGCCAAGCTTTTGTGTCTCCCAATTGTGGCGTAATGCAAAGCTCTTGTGTTCTTTTGCACTTCCCTCATTTTGCCGTCATTTTTTTATGTTAGTTGTGGCAAGGTTCTGCATGGAGGGCCTCTCAGAATGGCAAAACCGAAACAGATTTGTTCAGCTCACCCCCCAACCCATCCACCCCCATGTCTGAAAGCACAACACAGGGTTTGTAATGAATGAAGAGAATGTCCTTTTATGCTGTTTTTGTGCAATTCTAGTCCTCCATTCTTTGTGCGCTTTCCTGTAGGATGTATTTTAGCATTTTATTGTTTGCCCGAGAAATGTGTAGCTCTGTTGTGCCTCACTGTTCTATAACTATTTTTTTTGTCCTTTAAAATATTTCAGCATTGATTAAAAGCATTTTTTTTTGTTGTTAAACTTTTTTTGGTTGATGTTTTAATGTGAATCTGCGGTTGAACCGTATCCTGGTTGCAGCCCAGATGCCCCTCCGCAAGGCATTCTTTTCCAGTGAGAACACTTGCGCTGATGATGTCCTGAGAGATCACCTGAACCTAGCTTGGTTGTTTCTTAGCCAGGCTGACAAGTCATGGAAGTTTTCTGCTTGGAGGAATCT